TGAATGTTGTGGGATTTTTGATGTCACATAGGCAAATACTTGTAATACTTGCACTGTATATGACTGCCTCAGTCTGGGGAAAGACATGTATTCTTTTTTCTTTAACTTTTTATTTTCTTTTTCTTTAATCTTTCATTTTACTTGCCCAATATTAAAAACCTGTCAACAGGGTTTTATGTGATACCCACAACCAGTTAGGAGTAACTGTTGCCTGATAACTTTATTAAGCCTTACATCACTTTCTCAACAATGGATCCTCTGCAGTGAATGGGTCCAAACATCTGATAAAAACATAACAATAATCTACAAGTAATCCACACGCCTCCAGTCCATCAGTTAATGTCTTGTGACGTGAAAAGATAAGTGTTTGTAAGACAGAAATTCATCAAGGCATTCTGATAGCACCCATTCACTGCAGAAGATCCATTAGTTAGAAAGTGATGTAATGCTAAATTTCTCCAAATCTTTTCCAATGAAGAAAAAAAAAACTCATCTAAAACGTGGATGGTCTGAGGGTTGAGTACATTTTTAGCACATTTTTAAAAAAATTTGCTGAACTCTTCTTTTAGCATTGTATTTTGTCTGGTAAAAACTGTCATTAAGTCTCTGTCTGCCTCTTGTGTAAAGAGCCAGTATTCCTAACATGTCAAAAAGCTGTAACGTAGGCTGCCTCCATTTCTCATTCTCTGATTCTCTGTCAAGTTTACCACTTGCTTACCACCATGTCTGGCCAGTTAAAGCTGTATGTTTGCTTAATGATGCATTTTTCATCACTTATCCTTGTAGGCATTGTCTGCTCAGGATGATTTGGAAAAAACTAAAGAGGAGCTGAAGTCTGTGATGTCAGCTACAGCAGGTGGTGCGTCAGAGAACGAACATGACGAGCATGACGAGAGCAGTGCAGAAGCCAGTGCTGAGCTCTCTAATGATGGAGTTGCTCACCAGCGAAGTGAGGAAGAACGGCTCACAGAGACCCAGAAGAACGAACGTGTCAAAAAACAGCTACAGGTTAGACCATCTGCTAACACAGAGGTCCCCAACCACCAGGTCACGACCCAATACCGGGCCGTGGAAGAGTTGCTACCGGGTCGCAAGAACATTCTGGGAAAAATGTGTACAGATATAACACACTGTTATTTATTGTGCGCTAATGATTGTTCTAATTATTCAGTTTTTTCGTTGTATGCGAGTAGCAATTTGACGATTTCATGTCAGATCAGAGCAATCTTTCATCTACTAATTGAACATTTAATTTACATGTATTTATTAGAGGTTAAACAGATCGCAGTTGATCTGTGATGCATACGGACCAAACCCCACAGTTTGGCACGCATGTGATTCGCAGATTAATTTGACAATGTACACATTCAAGCGATTTTAAACCACAAGAATAAGAATGAAAGAGAACTCAATTCGTTACTCACGCGCTGTTCTCACACACACCCAAAGCGCGCACAAGCATGGAGACCTGTTTCAAACAGCTCGCGAATACAGAGTAGATTCCTCTTTCACGTCTCGTTTAAGATACATACGCATAAAATTGTATCAAAAAAACCTTCTCGGCAT